GCGATCTCCCGTGCGCGATCGGCGGCGGGGATTTCGATGGCTTCGTGCGGGGCACCAACGCAGGGACCGGGCACGGCAGGGTCTTGATTGTTCGGAGGTAGAGTGGAGATGGTCGACGATTGAATCAGGACAGTTTCTGCGCCAACGTGCTGCAGGAGGGACGGGGGAGGTACATGCTGATGGAGCTCGACTCTATGGCGTTCACGCTGGAGGTAGCTGTGTGCTGAAGGAGGAAGAAGAGAGAAGGTAGAAGACAAGGGTATTTTGGTCTGGTCTGTACAAAATTACCTAGCGCTGCAGGTGGGCCTAAGGTCGTAAAAGACGTATAAAGTGACACTGGATTATAATGATATGGTTCAAAATAGATAAATTGAAATGACGTAATTTAGAAGTTACAAAATTGTAATGGCACCTATTAAAATAACCCAAGGCCTATTCAGGGCAGCCCAACTTTGCGAGTCTGGACCTCCCATGTGCACAGCCCAACTACCCATGAACTATGTTGTAGCCATGTGCTGTGGATGGACAGTGTGTGGTAGTCACCACTGCGTGATGGCACGACAAATATGTGTTTGTGTCAAGGTTACCAAATATAGGTGGTATATCGAGGATTGAATGGCACCTATGCTCAGCGTATTTTCTTCAACTTGTAGCACGAGGATCCTGCTATCACACATGGCTCCATGCATGTTAGGTTTTCTTTGGATACACTGATACCTACTTCAATCTATATGTGTTGAAATGAATTGAAGTGAAATTTAGTTTAATTTTCACCCAAATCTGATCTATGTGCTCTAACATACGAGTGCATCCACACCTACCTTAAATCCTTAATCGCGCAGCGCCAGCGCCAGCACCCTTGTTCTGCCCTCAAGCCATAGCGACCACACCATCTCCAGTCCTCACTCCTCTCTTGCCTCGTAAGCGTCCTCTCTAAGCTTTCGCTCTTGGTATGTAACCATAGAGCCCAAACCTCAGCAACTCCATTGGTGGCATGCTATTCACACATGTTGCCTGAAATGTCTTTAGATATTTAGGCTACCGAAGAATAGGAGGTGCGTAGGGCAATTTTGGTTGGCTTTGTATCTGCGTCCACGATTAGTACCCATGGCATACATTCTACATGGATTTTAAGTTTTTGATCGGGGTCGAGGGGACCAACGAGTTTTAAGATTAGCATTGCACTAGGTAGCGTGCCCATGCGTTGCTACGGGACGGGCATGCATGGAAAACGAAGATGTCTTTATACTGTAGAAATCTTTCAAGAAGATCCTGCATAGATTATTCTTGTATTGAATATTATATATATACAATCACCTAAATATTCTAATTAAACTACAAAATTTTGAATTAGGATACGAGGTAAGACATGCAAACAGATATTTCAAAACTACCTGTAAAGTCCAAAGAACTTAATAAATAAATCCTTCTGGAGGCAATGCAAATTCTCTCTAATCTTTCATTTGGTGTAGTTAGTGTTATCATAGTCCCCACATGTATTCATGGGAACTAAATCGTGGACAAAACGTGGACACTTTTTGGTGCGACATTTCAATATGGGTCCATCGTCCTGCCAATATCCTTGAGACAGATCACATAAAGGATGAGAGTCCCTCTATGAGATTACTCACAAGAGACTCAAACTTATATCTGATCATGGTAATGTTGAATTGCTTTGCATCAAAAGCATCGGCAATGATAAACGATAATATAGGTTTTAATATGTATAGTGGAGGAAAACTCAACCTTGGCCTTTTTAGCAGCTTTTCTGAGCCTTTACAGTGCTAACTTGTCCTTACTCAGATAGTCAAGAGGTGCACATATATATTTTGCCAAAAATGCTCAAAAGATGACAAGATAAATGAAAGGTAACAATCAGTAGGATTTTCTTTCATATCTAGTCCATGCTACTGTAAAATTTACTGAGGTTGTATAATGCCAAGGACTGTCCTGCCAATAACGCACCTACAATGAGAAGATCATCTGAATCATGCTTGTTATTAGCCTCTAGATAGAGCTACTGGCATCATGTAGATCTTCATATTGAAATGCTGACACCTGCAACATGAGGCATAAAAAAAAGTCATGTGTTTATGTTGTGCAAAGATCCTTATCAACTGACATATATAAGATTGATTCTGTAACTTTTTTTTGAACTGTCACCCAGGTGGGGATTGAATCACTGCCTGAATATATATTGATTCAGTAACTCACATACAACTTTTAAGCAATGTTATCAAGAAAAAAAATAGTTCTGTAAAAATTATTAACCCAATATATTCCAAGCAAGAAAAAAAAACAGCAACAAAGAGTGTAAAATGGAATTAAGGCTAATCATGTTCAAATCTGACCCAACTTGTCACAGATACTGAAAAGTCAATGTTGGTTGGAAACATCATCAAATTTTAAGTAGCAGCCGCTTTTCAGTATTCTCAAACAGGAGCTAATGTATTCTCTGGTATAAGCTTAGTAATCAGGGGAGAAGTTCATAATTATTTATTTTTGGAAGAAACGGTAATGACTACACCTATTTCTTGTTCCTGATGGATGCAGAACTAATTGTTTTGGTGACACTGGGTGACACATCAGGCGGAGATGAGTGCTGGCATTCACTTGGGCATATGAAGGAATGCCCATAAGGTCAGACATAACGTATGCACTTGGCGTGTTGTTTCAACAAAAAATATTACCACTTATCCTAAATTTACATTGTGCTTAAAACAATCCCGAGATGATGAACACTTCACAACAGCATTGACATCAGTGGAAGCGATAGTAGAAACTATCCTTAGAACCACAATTATTCCTATCCGTCTATACTTCATGTCTGGATTACTAACCTACAACTACAAGGTAAGAAGCAGGCACAGAAAACAATAACAGATTGTAATTTGCAAGTGAAAGATGTCTTTGCGGGAAGAATGTGCTACCCATGTAAGAAATGTGGTCATCTTTCTCACCACCATTAGAAGCTCATTAGCTACTGAAGAGCCACCTGAATCAGTATTGAAGCCAACAGCCAGTGCCAAACGACATAAGATACCGTAAACCTATATTGTTTTTGATCGGGTATTATTTATGGAGACACAAATTAGGAGAGAAATGAGCAATGTATCACAAACCTGAATCAGGAAGAAGATATCGTGAACTCTCCAAGTAACCCAATATTCCTGTACTGAAAAGGTCGATATGTTTGTTGAGCAAATGAAAAGCACTAAATACAAAGGAAAATATTTTTTTCTCAAATATGCAGGAGCTTTCCAGTTATCCTCCGAATTGAATTATATCATAACATCATACAGACATACAAAACAAAGTTCACTGACAGACACACAAAACACAGAAGAAAATGTGTTTTCATCACCTGCTCATGCTACTCCTCGTTGAGGTTAAGATCTGACAACACATCAAGCACGGCAACTACAGAGAAAATGCAGTCCTAGCTCAGATGTGAAAGGGAGAACTTGTGAGTGAACATTAGACTTGTGAGTGAACATTAGATTCTGGCATCCTGAAGACTTGCACAGCATTATCTGCTTCCCGATTTTCTGAAGGGTACCCCTGATGAGAGAGTAAGGGGTTGTAAGCAGTAAATAACACATTTCATCCATATTACTCCAGTTAAGGATATATATGCTTTTTTGGGATACAAGCAGTCAACCTCCGTAATATTTCTCCACCAGTGTATTTAGGATCATTTAAGTTTGACATATGAAAATGTATTTGTTTGATTTCAAAAGTACTAAATATTGTAACATTAATATTTCTACAAATACTATATAGGAATTAGTTTTTGAAGTTGTATTATGAAAATGCCAAGTATATCCAAAAAAACAAATTTTTTGGTCACTTCGAAAAGTAATACAATCAAGGAGACCAATTAGCAACTGAACTGCAATATAATGTTTACCTGAGAAGATGACGCTAATACTTGCGGATGTATGTTAGGCTCTACCAGTCCGTATAACTGGGCCTCATTGGTTGTATGCATATTAGGATCTTCATGACCATAAGCCTGCAGATATCCAAGTTCTGTCATGGACGATGCCAAAAAAAACTCTCTGGAAACCAGAATTGCAACTTCACTCTCTAATTAATAATCTAACAAAGAAAATGCCAAACATGTGGAGCATCAACAGACATATCCACTGACAAACCAATTATATAAGAATAATATTCCTCATTACCGAAAAATCATGAACGGCCTGATGGCTCCGGTGGGCGGCCGTGGATCTGCGCCCGGCTGGGGGAGGGGGCTGACGGCCGGCCGTGCCACGCGCTCCTCGGTCGCTTCTTCTCCGGCTCATAGGTGCAGGCGACCACCTCCTTCGCCTCGGTCAAGCACCAGGAGGCGCCGGTGCCGGGGCCAGGCCCAGCTCGAGCAGGAGGAAAGAAAGGATCTAATCTGAAGGCGCTAATTCGACAACCAATATACCATATCAAATCCCAGTCTGCTCAGTGAGGAGAAATTTAGATATCTAAGCCGTTATTCACGCGCCTCTCATAATATAACCCTCAATTCGCATGTCTTTGGAAAAAATGACCTATGTCCTGTGAATTGTTTTGAAATTTAATCTTTTTAAGGATTTCTCTATTTATGTAATTCAAAAAATCATCTTTTACTGTTTGGTACGGGAGAAAAGACATCATTACCCCTCCCTTGTTTCTGTTTTGTTCTCGTTCGCTGGGGCCTGGACTCAACTCGCAGGAGCACGAGTCGCGAGCGCCGCGACGGACTCCCACGCGTCGCAGCGTCTGCGAGCTGCCCGCCGCCGGCCAGGTCCGATCGTCGCCCGCCGGCCACAGCCAGCGCCCGCGCCCTCCTCCCGCTGCTGCTCCTCCTCGTGCCTCCCTGCAGTTCCTCCTCCTGCTGGCAGCTGCGCCTCCTCCTCTCGGCAAGGAAGCTAGGGTTAGAGGGGGTTTGTGGCGTCCACCACCGGGCCGGCCCCTGCACCGTCCATTGGATTGCGGCTGAAGGGGCTGCGACCTCCACCTGCTCCATGGCTCCAGGGTAAGAGCCCCAATCTCCTCTCTCTGTACTGTATGTTTAGGGTTCCTGTTGATTTGGGGGCACAATCTAAATTGTGTCTCTTTTATTTTTTGTTGGTATCCGGTAGAATTGATCCGGATCCTGATGGGGAATTTAGGTTGTGTGTTCAGTTTTCTCCGTTCACAGCTAAGTTGAATGATGGCCGCTCTGTTGATGTGCTACGTAAATGTGATGAATGGGTTATTGATTGTCAATTTTATAATCTAGAGATGCTACTCGGAGATTTGGAAGCTAGGGTGAAGTGGGGAAGCGGGCAGCAGCCTGTGATACATGAGTTTGACATGAGTGGTAGTGGAGAGAAAAAGCTGGTGGATGATAAAGACCTGTCACTTGCATTTGCTGAGAAGATGCATGATAAGAAGTTGTTCTTGTTTGTTGATGTCGTGGATAAACCCGCAGAAATATTTTCCAACTCAGCTGTTATAGAGGCAGAGGCAGAGGCTGCTGCAAGTAATGTAGGCCATGACAATGCCACAGAACAAGGAGATTGCGGCAATCCTGTAGTTGTTTCTCATCAAATTGACTGGGAGAGTCTACTGATAACTCCTCTTACAGAAGACCAGATTGGTACTGCACTTCCTATGATGGATGAGGATGCAATGTATGAGTTTGTTGGCCTTAGAGCAGAGGATGAGAGAGCTAAACAAGCTAGGATGGCGGCCCAAAAGGTGACTGAAATTAATCTTGATGATGTGGAGCTACAAGATGCAGACTTGTTGGTTCATGATCATGTACCTGGTGAGGATTCTGTTTTCTGTGATAAAGAAGACCCTCCAATGGAAGTTGGAACAATATATTCTAGTATGGATGAGTTTAGGGCTGCAGTGCGACAGCATGCTATAAAGGGGCAATTTCAGCTTGCAACAAAGAAATATCGCAAAGATTATTTCAACGGCAAATGCGCTCATGAGGGTTGTTCATGGACTATTTCAGCAAGGTTGATGCGTGATGATCAACAATTCTCAGAGGCAATAAAGTGTGATCATATCACCAACAATGTGGCAGAGGTTTGGAACAATTGGGTGAAAGACCTTAAGGACCTTCCAGTGGCTGACCTTGCAGACAAACTGAGGTCCAAATTCATGGAACTTTATGCAAGAAGGAGAAGGATAGGTGAAAAATTTGAAGGACATGTAATGCTGCCACTTGTTGTACACCAGCTATATGCAATGACCCGATAGCTCGGTCACTTGAACACAGAAGCAGGTGGAAGGGATGAAGCACAGGTCTCAGAGGTCACTGCTTCACACAAAATCATAAGACATGTGGTGAATATTAAGGACCATGTATGCACCTGCAGGGAGTGGCAAGTGTCAGGTAAACCATGTGCACATGCTTTGGCACTCATCATCACTTGTAGAAATGCTAAGATGGAAGACTACTTGGATCCTTATTATTCAGTGTACCGTTTTAGACTAGCCTATGGTGGTGTGATCAAACCACTGCCCGATAAATCTCAGTGGGTGCGTGTGGAACTTGGATTCAAAGTGATGCCACCACTAGATAAGAGAGATGTTGGAAGACAATGGAAAAATAGAAAACCTAGCAGCCTAGAGAACAAGGGAAGCAAGCCTAGGGGCAAAGGCATGTGGAAGGTTAAGTGTCAAAATTGCTTGGGTCTTGGCCATAGGACTAACTCTCCAAAGTGTCCTCTTAATGGAACAAAGAAGAGGTAAATGTGTATGCCTTTTTGAAATAATGCATACTTGCTGAATATTTTGTATTCATCTCAAATTTTCTTATACAGGAAAAGTCGAGCCAAGAAAGGTAAGGCAGGGAGACCTGCTGGTTGTAGCAAAGGTGATGCAACTCCTAGTCCATCCAAAAGGCAGAAGGTTGTAGTGGCAGAAGGCACAAGTGAAATCAACACTAGTCCTGGACCTGTTACAAGGAGGCAAAGGTGATTCCTGAAAACTAAAATCAACACTAGTCTCTTTTAACCTATTGCAATTAACCTTTCTCATTTTTAGCCAATTGCAACTAACAATGGGGGAACTTGGAGGGACAAATCAAATCACTACAAGCCCCAGAGCAGTTACAATAAGATAAAAATCATTCATTGTGTGTGACATGTGTGCATCTTATCTCATGTACTGAACCATTCCACTGACCTATGATATGTAGTGAAACTGAAGAAGGGCCAAGTAATACAATGACCACTCCAAGGAAGAGTCTAAGGAAGAGGCTAGGTCTAAAGAAAAAACTCACTCCAAGGAAGGGGAATAACATGGATGCTTTAATAATCTTCCTTTAATGTCATGAGACTTTTGTCTATTAAGATTTCCGGCCATCTTTTGTGCATGTGAACTTGTGGTCCTAAATTGGCTGGATGACTCTCTTTTGTATGGCTATTTTTATGTGAACTTGTAGTCGTATCAGATTGGCTAGATGGCTGAGTTGTTGACGTGAACCTATTTATTAAATTGTATGTGAACGTGTACTAATATTAAATCTATGCTGGAATTGTGCAGTTAATTTTATTATTTATGGTGAAATTGTATGGCTGTTTTTATCGTGTAAAACATGTTATTTACATTTATTTTGAACATATATATTTGAGCTGTGCAAAATATTAGTCTTTAGGAGCATGGGACGGAGCTGGAAAGAAAAATGAATAGGCTAGGAAGGAGATTACACCACCTGGGACGCATCTAAGTGGCTAGGCATGTGTCCCTAGAATGAGGGAGGGGCAGTAACGTCTTTTCCCATGTCCTAAATAGTGAAGAGAGCCCCTGGAATTACAGAAATGGAGAAAATCTCGAAAAGACTAAATTTCAAAACAATTCGCAGGACATGAGTCATATTTTTAAAGACATGCGAATTGAGGGTTATATTATAAGAGGCGCGCGAATAACAGGTTAGATATCTAAATTTCTCATCAGTGAGCCAAAACCAAAGGTGAAGTTGTTGAAAATTAGAGCAAGCACCCCTCACCTTCGCGACCATAAGATCCTAAACAACAGAAAGTGAAGAATATAATGAAGAAACCAGAGGAACCCAGAGTGATCTCCGTGGCGGCGGCGGTGGCTGAACCACAACCCCCGCCAAATCAGGGCGTCGGGGCAGCAGAGGCCGTGCTAGTGCGCCGCCTCGCCGGGCGCGACCACCGTCAGGCCCGCCGGGCCGACACGAGTTACCCGCGGGGGAGAGGGGCACCGTCGCGCGCGACGGACGCCGTAGGCCATCGTCATCTCGCTCGCGCCCTTCGCATCGGTGGGGGTTGGATCTGAGGCAGAGGCGCTCCATCCAGCCGGAGCAGGGGAGGCCGCCGATCTGATTAAGGGGAAGACGATGAGGTAGTTTGAGATGCTCGTCATCCAAGTAAAATCCTATCGTGCAAGAGCAAGGATAGGAGTTCAAACAACATCAAAACCATTAGAAAAGTTGATTCACTTCGAGATGCGGGTGCTTATCCTCAGTGAATCAATTAGAGAGAAGATTGTATCATCGACGGAGATCATCTCGAACAAATTAGCCTGGTATCACTACATTGGTCTGGCCAACAGAGCAATTGTGATTATCGTCGTCGCACACTTTGCCAGAGCTGATGAACACGGCTACGACAGTGGAGGTGACAACGATGAAGGTGAAGGCTTTAGCGGCCACAACGGTGATGGTTCTCAAGGAAGAAGTGTGGGTGGAAGTTTGATCAATCGTGCTGATGAATGGTGGTGCAGGCGGTGGCAGCAACGCACTACGCAGGGTAGTCGTCCTCGCTACCACCTTTGTGGCATTGGCCGTGCCGCGGGTCCTTCTTTAGGTATGTTTATAGCGAAGTCCACCTCACCGACCCATCCACCTTACACTGCTTCTAGGCGCCTACGTCGACAATGAGCACGGCAAAAATACAGCAACAACGACGATAAGGATGGAACTGCCCTAGTGTCAGTGTTTCGAACCGTCAACTAGTAAATTTGTGTTTGCACGTCTGGTCCAGATGGTGTGTGTGGTAGAACCGCCTGAAATAACACGCTTTTAGAGGCACTCGTCTTCCACTAGACACTAAGCACACCAAAAGTTAGCTACATCAGACAGTTCTATCGAGCCCACCCCAAGGGAGAACTCGAAACAATCCATGTTTTACATCCAGAATCCAATAATGAGTACGAGCTTACATACTTAGTCCATTTCATACAACAAGAGTTCTTGGAAATTATTTATTACAATACCAGAGTTCAGAGTGCTATAATTAAACAGCGGAATGAAAATAAACATCTAGCGGAAACGATACAAGGATCCATCTGTGCCCACCAGAAGAATCCTCCACACAAGAGCTACTCCTCAAGCTGCACCTGCAACAAGGGTAAAATAAACCCTGAGTACACAATGTACTAGTAAGACATACCCGACTAGTGGGAATAGTTTCCTGACTCCAAGGAGTATAATAGGTAATATGGGTTTGCTGTTTTCTTTTGTTTTACGAAAAGCATTACTAGAAGTACGTCCTTAAGATCAAGTTTAATTAGCAGTCATGATTACTTCATTAGCTAACCATTCTAGGTAAGCACTTGTTCTACTTTCAAGCAAGGGTTGAGCAATCAGAACCATTTCACCATCTTTCATCTTCTAGTTCTTGCTACGATGCTAAACCATAGCCAAGTCGTATCGTCTCACAGAAATGGCGATTCATGAACCAATATATCCTAGCTGGGTACCTCGAAACACACGCCCCGTTTATTCCCCAGGCACAAACAAGACCAACCCATTCTGCTCCTATCACGGGGTCTAGGTCCCCATCCAAACTTGGACTCCAAGCCCCCACACTTGAGACCTGGTCTTAATATGGTGCTTAGACCTCCACCTTTGCTCACCTCCAATCAGTCGGTCCAAAAAGAGACGGAACCCACGACAAGAGCGTATCGAGCCTTCCCGCTCCCATAAGCAAGTATGTGCTTAGGATAATAAGTCTGTGACCTGACTACCATCCACAGCAACGGATGGTCCTTAATCGATACAAATAGGGAAAAATAGTGTAACCAAGCTAAGCCCCGTTGGCCGCGAGACACAACCTGGTACACCCACCAATACTCATACCATATCCCTGCCCAGTCTCTATTTTTCCTTTCATCATTTTATCATGATAGTAAACATAATAATCACTTATTGTGAGTAACGACAGGTTACTCACGCTACCGAAAACCTAAGCATAGCATCTACTCGAACCTGCACTAGTAAGACTCATAGGACAGATATATCTATGCATGTGGTTTTCATAAAATTCCTATAACGTAAATGCACATAACATATATAAATAGTGATTATAAAAAAGGGGTTATGCACTGGGTCTTGCCTTGGGCAGGCGTGGTGTTAGCTGAGTCAGTCAGTGGTGGCTCTAGGACCTCCTCCTACACGAGAATCTCTTCCTCATACTCCTCAACGATCTCCTTGAACTTGTGATCGCCGGTGGTCACGATCTTCGCCAACTCATTCTCTACATGCATGCGATGATGATGCAACACTTAGCATTTAGGCAACAACAACTCCTAAACTAAGAATATGCATACTAAGCTACTAAGTTAGCTCTAATGACTAAGGTACTAAGCTAACTATCATCTTTACCAAGCAAACTCCTAGCTTTACAAATAAAGGATATATCTTTATTTCTACTAATGATTTAGTGCATATTTGAAACAAAGAGCATTTAACTACCCTAATGTTTAGTCTATTCTAAAGCTACAAAAATTACAGTGAGCACATAATAATACAATAAAGCTACTATAAAAATTTCAGGACTAAAGCTGTCACCAATTTACCACAAAATTCCTATAATATTTAACCTAATAATATTAAGCACTCTCAAATGATTTAATAGCTCCTGGTATCAACACATATATATATGAACTAAATACACTAATTGATAGAGCACAATTTTATGAACCTAACAAAATTTGTTTCATAATTTTTGAACACCTACATGATTTTATATGATTTACCAAAGATCAGCTGAAAAATTAATTTAGAAAACTATTTCTAATTCCTTAGTAAAAGAAAAACGAAATCTCCCACGTGGTCCACATGCGTGGGCCGCACGACACAATGCGCGCGAGCAGCGGCCCACATGAGGCCGGCCTACAGCGCAAGACGGTCCACGGCGGGGAATCCTACGTGCGGCTGGCGATTTTGCAAAAGAGATTTCACACTTATCTTGAATTACAACTAAGTACTAACACTATTTTCCCCTCTCTCAAACCTTTTCACTTAACCCGCTGGCCTTTCCCTAATTCACCCACGCGCACGCCCGGCAACCCAGCGCACGGCGGCCGGTGACACAGCGCGGCTGCGCCGACCACCAGGGACCTACGATAGACCACCTAATGGGCCGGTCACCATCTTCGACCCGAGCGGCTACGCTAAGCAGTGGTGCGGGGTGACATGACTGGCTGGGGAAGGCTGTAGCGGCACACGGCCAGCCGCGACGGCGGCGCCACTGTTCCAGTGAGCAGGGGTAGCTACAGGCCTAATTGATTAGCGTGTGAGCATCAGGACGCTACCCTGGACTAGGACAAGGTGACGGTTGGGGCAGAGGATGATGGAGGAGGGCTGGCCACGTGCGACCGAGCCGTGTGGCGGCGCACTGCGGTAGCACGGTCACGTCAGCAATGACGGGGAGGCGGTAGCAGTTCTGCTAACGTATGCAAGGTGGAGAGGGAGGCAAGGCAAAGCTAGTGGTGCAGGTGAATTGATTTGAGATGGGCGGTAGGAGGGCTACTCTCGTCCACGGCTGGACGCGGCCTTATCGACACGACGGCGGGGAAACTCCAAAATTGGAGCTTGGTAGTGCCTCCTTCATGGATGGGTGGGGTTGGGCAGCGAGAGGACATGATGTTGAAGACATGGATGTGCTGAATTGAATGGAGGTGATCACTCAGTGGCCAATTGATGGCGCAGCTCGACGGCGGCAACAGAGGGAGAAAGAGAGAAAGAGAGGGACGGGGCATGGCAGGTGGGCTTAGCTTGGCCTCGCCTTGGTGGGATGCGGTCGGTGTGATCATGGAGACCCACACGCAGGCGCTAGCAGATAGGCACGCACATTCGCGACTGGCCTATCTCGCGCACCGTAGTGCCATCAATGAGAAGGCGACGATGAGCCCGGGCATGTGCGCGTGGCAGAGGCGGCATCGCACTAGGCCGGCAGTGGCATAGAGATGCAGAGGGAGGCACGGACATGATGACGAGGCATCGGCACCAGCAGCGGCTGCGTCACGGTGCAGGGTAGGTCGACAGTGCGGCAGCACGGCAGGGCCGGCGGTAGCACCACCCGGCTACGCAAGGAGCAGCAACGGCTCCACACGCTCGGAGCAAGCGGCGGCCAAGCCACAACTAGGCCAGAATAGCCATGGCCGGTCATGCACGGTAGCGCGCGTGCACGCAGGATAGCCAGCATGGCGACGCCGAACGCCCGATCGTGGTGACCACGCCCACGCGGCCAACCAGCCCAAAACCGTGTCATGCATGAATTTTAAAGCACCTATAAAAACTAAACAGTTGCTTCTAGACCTAAACCATCTTCACCATACTCAAGATGGCATATGAGACTACCAAATCGAGCTATAACACTACACCACCCCTTAACCCAATCTCTCAAAATAATTTGCTAAACATAGCAATGTCTAGCTGTTGACAAACTTGGAAAATTTTCTAAGTTTTTGAGCTAAACTTGATTTTAATTTGCAATTTCTAGGCTAGTAGAAATAGTAGTTAGTAATATCATTTTTCAACAGCAAGTATTTCACTGTCATCTACAAAGTTCAAATTCCAAACTTTATTTAAGCGCCACATATATGTTCTATAGCATTTTTGTTCAATAAAAATTAGTTTAAACCCTACTTGATATACATGAACTATTGAATCAACTTTCATTTAACATTTTTATTAGTCATTTTAGGTTACAAGAAATTGATCCACACACTTTATCACATCCACTAACACATAAACATGATGCTCATGACATGTTTCAGTAAATGATTTAGTGTGTAACGAGGGTGTTACAGTGTGCTCGGAGGACACAAGGGTTTATACTGGTTCGGGCAAAATGTCCCTACGTCCAGTTTGAGGCTGCTCGTGTTACCGACACTTGTTTGTAGTAGAGGTTACAAATGAGTGAGAGAGGGAGAAGGTCCCAGGTCACTGATGGAAGGATCGAATGGAGTTGAGTCTAGTCGAGCTCGTTCAGCCGTTCAGTGTTAAGCCGTTCATGGGAGTCCTGCTTCCCCTTTTATAGTTGAAGGGGAAGGCGCAGGTTACACGAGAGAAAGAGAGAGAGAGAGAAAAGTGAGGAGGAAGAAGGCCTTCGGGGTCGTGGCGCCCTTCATCTCCTTTATGCGTGTCCTGTCGGTCCTATAGATGATGACGGGGATGGCTCTACATCGTGACCCTGTTCATCACTGGCGCTATATGTGGGCATCATCAGCCGGTCATGGCGCTCCATTCCATCCGGCGGGCGGCATGGTTAGCAGATACCCCCATCAGAAGTCATACGAGGATTAGGTAGCATAGCACGAGCACGCCCGATGCTGTTGGTGACATGAGTCCTCAGGTATGGGCCATCATGGCCGCAGGTCACGTCAAGACACGCCTACTCCCTTTCTGGTGTCAGAAGTTTGACACTAGGTTCATGCTCTTGGACCCATAGTGGTTGGAGGTGGTACGGACCCCCGTCGGGCGAGGTGGAATCCCCCTTCGATGGGTCTGATGAGACAAAGTCCACGCCTGAGGGGTTGGACGACACGGAGCCTGCACCCTCGGGGTCAGGCATGACAGAGCCCACGCCCTCAGGGTTGGACGACATGGAGCCCGCATCCTCAGGGTCGGGCGATACGGAGCCTGTGCCCTGA